AATTAAAAGTGACGCTTTTGCCGACAACCATTCTTGTTCTGAGATGCGCCACACACTTGGTTGTATGAAGCCGTAGAGGTATCCATAAGTCTCTTTTCTTGTACAAACTCTGACTTGACCAGTAGTCCAATTATGATGGAAACCGGTTTCCCACATGCTGAAATTCTCTACAGCCGCTTTTAAACGCACCATTATCGACGTGGACATAGGCTGTGTTTTCTGTGGCTGGCCCCTATGCTTGCTCCCCCCCCCCAACTCGGTCGACGGACTACTTGATCTCGACCCTTCGAACCGCCTCTAAGCATTGATGAAAGATCAAATAGTCCGTAAACCCCCCCTACTCACTCCCTACATGAATAAAATATCCCCGCAATAGGATTTCGCTAGCGCATCACTGGATCCGCAAAGTCTGACATCGGCCGCAGAGTGAACTCCGTTCCCCTTCAGTTGCAAAGCCTACAGTAGGCGTCGTGCTTGTCGAAATATTATAATTGTATACCAAGGTGGTCAGCCCTACTGCGAAGGAATGGAAAAAAAAGTTAGTATTCTACTGCCTTGAGGCCTCATTCAACGAAGGTTTCAAAAGTTTCCGTTTCTTGGGAAAATATTGATGGTTCAAGCCTGGGATTGAGAGTACTGTTATGCACTCATTCAAAGACTTGATATCTGACTAAATGACTCCTCAACGAATAAGTTAGTTACCATACCCGGATGTTCCGAGTTAGAAACTGGTGACCTGCATTACCCGCGTCCCTAGTCTTGGACTGGTGTCTCACCCGGTATCGCAATTGCGAATCCAGCAGTTTCGACACCGGCCTCATTTCCCGAGATTAGCTGTCAAATATCGAAATCTTGTCACATACGAACAAATTCTTCTATATATTTGCCGATTTTTTTTTGAAATTTTTGAGCTGTATCAGTTTTTCAGAGGCAGTAATCACGATTGATGCAGGGTTGTGACGTCATTGAAATTCTTCAGTCGAAGGATGTTAAAGGGAGGTCCCAACCACACCTGTAGCTTACTGAGATGTCTAGTCCAATAACAACATTCAATGACGTCATCAAAACCGCGCCGCCTAAGCCTGTGATCTCTACCTTCGAAACATGGCAGTTTAATGGAGATCCAGAACGAAAAATGGCATACCGCCCGAGTAAATCTAAGATGGGGTATTTATTTGGTCGAGATGACCTAATGGAGACCTGGCTGAAGTCCGATCGAAATAGGAGTATGCGCAGGAGGAAAAATAACACTTTATCCCGGGCCTACAAAAAAACGAAGCTTTGAACTAAAGTGCACTCCATCAGCGAAAACTCCAAATTAAGTCAGATCGACAGCTTGAACTGAAAGTGGAACAGCTAGTGGAAACGAACTTTTCCTAGGGACCTCCCTGATTTTTTGCAGCTGAAAATGACTATTTGTAAAGCTAGTAGTTCTATCGGTGACTATTCTCAGCATACCATGTGAAGGATGAAACATTAAGCGTTTAGCAATTGGTCTTCGAGATGGTTCGCTGGGGCTTCCTGGCCCAAACACTGACTTACAGGAGCCAACAATGGAGAAACCGGGATGCTCAGTACCGATTATCCAGCCATCTTGGACTGGGAGGCTTGGCTAGCCTCTATCTGGTACGATACACGACTTCAAAAGTGCGATATGTACAGGGGAGGGGGGGGGGCAATAAAAAAAGGCATTTTGTCCCTAAGGCCTCTGGCCTACTACTTACAGCGGGGTTCGTTTCATCAGCTGGTCCCGTCCACCGCGGGATGTGGTGCGTGGCTGGCCTAACGAGTGAGATCAGCTGGGTTGATTGCCGTATCAACGATGGAACGGCTGGCATATCCGGAAAACTCGTCTGGACGTGGCTCTCCCCCGAGCGAGCCTCCTTCACTGCTAGAAGAGAAGGGGTTTCGATTTGGGTCTTTTCAACAGTTCCTTTGCGTTTTTTCTTCACTGTGCTCCACCTCCCATCTCTACACTCAATTTCAGGCGCCATAATGCCCAAACACGAGCCTGACTACTGCCTTTAAGTTTGAAAACTGGCCTAGAATACCCTGATGCCGGTCCATGACAAAGAAAGGGCCTCTTCCCTAATATTTGTTTCTGAATTTTCTTCCACAAGTGCTCTTAAATGTGCTTCGCTCGATGACTGAATGAGCTCCAGCCACGATCGGATTGAACTTGAACGCTCATATCTCCGGAAGCGGAATCGTAAATTAATGGCACATTGTTCAAGCTGGGTCATCTTCACAGGCACATTTGGTGCTATGACTAGCACAGCGCTCCTGTAGCTTTTTTGGATTCATGAACCGTAACTACTAGGATATCGTGCTCTTCCATAGAAATCAGCGCCATGCGGAATGGCAAAAAGCTGCCAAATCGCAAAAATGAAGCCGCAACTTGAAACCGGAAAAAAAGACACAGATAATGATGCATAAATAAAGTACTGAGTCAATCATGCACTTGTAGAAAACCCGTTGAAACATGTTGTACCATGAAAATTGCAATTGTTTTCGCTGCAACTTCATAGTACTTCGATCGATTGTATCTTTTCGTACGAATCTAGAAAAGGGAACTCAATAACAGACCATGTCACACTGTCTTTCGCGTGGTTGATGCGGCCACTATAACCTAGTTTCGACGATTTTTAAACCACTCCCGCTAAAAAAAAACTACCCCTCCCCCCACCCTACTTACTGGATGAGACACGAAACCGTGTCAGTGAGAGATTTTTGACTGGCCTCGAGTTCCACTGGTGCAAGAGGATCCCGGGGTTGTATTTTGAATAGCCGAAAAATGATATTTTGATTCCATTGAATGTTGTCTGCGAAAAGTTAATTTTTGAACGAAAAAAAATCGCTGGAGTGGGTGCACCATTTCCCCTCCACAGACGCCCAGGACGTCTTCTCCCCTGCAAAAAATTGGATTACTCAAGGCATATGAGATGTCGCACCGCTGCAACCCCCCCCCCCTTAGTGTATGAGACCCACAACTTCGTTGATAGGTGTATTTTAATGTACTGGTCACAAATATGACACCGATTTTTGGCGCAGACACGCCTCTGCGCCAATACTGTGCACATTTGAGCCGAAGTGGGGTCAGTCGACGCTGGCGCCACGGAAGTACCGAGTAACCCCTAATAAGGGAGTTGAGGGCTAATGCAAGCGCTGTTAATAGCTCCATGCGCCCGTTCTCCTACTGCTAGCTTAAAAGCTGAGTTACTTTTTTTTAAATAAGAGATGCTATTTTATATTTTTGCAGCGGGCATGGTAAACACGTATTGCATTAAATGGGCGCAATATTACTTCAAATGACGTCATCATAAAAAAATAAACGTCAAGTTCGTTGGCAGGGAATCGGATTGCATTTTTAGGCAAAATTTCAATGATAATTTCTTTTTTGAGATTTTGGGGTATTAATAATAAATCTAGAATAGCACTTATTATTTTGTAAATTAACTCACTTTTTGAGCTAGCAATAACGTGAAAGGGGTGTATGGAGCTATTTATAGCGCTTGTGTAATTCCCTGTATGCGGTTTCGTTTCGGTTTGGCTCATGTCCGGCGCTTCTCAAAGCAGCTTGAGAGTGTAAACAATGGAGTTATCTCTCCGTCAGACTGCTCAGATGTTTTGGTTCATGGCTACGGTGCATGTTATGTTTGTGCGCGAGGGGTGGGAGCGATTATTATGTCACGAAACGCGCTTAGCTATTCTATTGGTATTACACATCAACCGCAACGAAGGTGAGTCCCATGAGCCTGTTTGCCAGGCCCCGATGCTCCACGCCTAAGCGGAAGGGTTATTGAATTGGTACGAGAACGCGGCGAACCTCTCAAGTTTTTCATCTGGTAATGAGGTACATGTGTCCATGAAAACACAGATGGCAAGTTTCATATACAATAGACCATTCTTCTCATAAAGTTCCAGTATACGTATAGGTCCATGGAGGTAGGCGTCACATACAAAGGTCATCTTTTGCAGCAGTTGCAGCAGTTAAGTTTCAGCCATCGAACACAGTTTCGCAGTAGTAGGTAGGCAGGTAGACTTCTACAGATATGCGAATATTGATAATATAATAATGTGGTAGGATTATAAAATAATCTTGCAATGCAAGCGCAAGAAGAGGAGCACAATCTGGAATATCTTATAACTAAGTAGTAACATCACAAATGTGACTAAAGACAGGATTCTATTGAAAGTAGTAAACAACGATGAGATTTGTTAGAAATGATCATTTAGCATACCATATCTAATGGCAACGAACGTCACAAAATTTGTCGATGATAGAGGAATTCAGTCAATAAACAAACATAGCTTTGTGGCACTCCATAGGAGTGGAGGTTCATAACAATGTACGCTTTGGCTTTGTTAAGGAGCAAGTTCCTCGAAGGTAATGTTCACTAGAAGGTTTTTACCGATGTTTGGTATCGTCAGCCTAGTTTTGCTACACAAAATGCGCATGGAATTTCAACACATGTGATGAGCTTGAGTCGGAAAAGCGGGGTTCAAATACAGCCCCTTGGCGTAATGGGGACGGCGCGGCGCGCATACGCGTCACGCTTCCATACAAATGAGACTCATTATGCTCGAAGGTTCTTTTCCGTATATCAAAACTGTCCATATGCAGTATCGGATAAAACAGTTCATTCTTTACCAGTAACGCAATTGAAGTGGTAATGCCGATTTTGGAAAAAAGAAAAGGCATCGACAGAGGAAGATGCACTAAGGCTGTCAAAAGTAGGTTTGACGTCCGTTTGCTTTTTTCACACCGCGCCAAATATTGTAAACTTGAGCTTTTTCTGTTTTGTGCGTACTATCACTGGAGTTATAAGAATAGACGTCCAAGAGTGGAAAGCGAAAAAGTTGGATGTCGATGGTATCGTGAACACTACATTTGAGTGAACGTGCTGCCAAAAGTATACAGCGCGACATTCGAGAGTAGAACAACGATAGATGAATGAGGAGTTAAAACTTGTTATTTCATATGACTAACTGAAAACGAATTAGAAGCGTTGCCCTCCTAACGTGGGCAAAACAGGTAGAATACCAGCAGCCGCAAGACCTCCTGGGCCTAAAAGGGCCGCATATCTTTTCCACATCACGTCCATATTCGTTGTATTGCTCGGAATTCTGAAAATGAATCACTTTTTTCATTGTCTTGAACTACTGTTCAGTATAACCTGTTTCCAGCTAGTTTTTCTGACGGTGGGTTTAAACAAGAAGAGCGTTCATGGGCGCAGTAGCGGTCAAAAGGATTCGCCGAAACGGTTTTTTTTGGAGAATCGTTTGGTGCTCCAAGAAAAGTAAAGAACAAGGAACCTTTTTCTCATAATTCCTTGAATTTTTAAGGCACAAGTATTCCATAAAAAAGTAAATAGCTATCACAGATAACATGGCAATATTCAAACCGAATTTTTCAGGATGAGAAAAAACTAATGCACCAAAGGCCGTTGCTGTAAAAATATTCGTGATGCTATCAAATATGTAGCCGGTCCCCAAACAAACATCCCGAAAAAAAAACTGAAGTTGGAATTGCTATCGTCTTAATTCTCCCCTAGTTCAGGACTAGAAATACGCTTGCGAGAAGTGCTACTTAGAGCTGCACTCTAGCCAGATTGGGGAGGAATGTAATATCTGCAACAGGAAACGGCCGAGAGGTCACGATTGTTCGCAAAATGTGCCACGCTGAGCCTTGGCTGTTTCGCAGAGAAGGAATCTCAGCGCTATCGCAGGATGTGAGGCATTGTGGTGGCAATGCGTTTAGAACCGTGGAAGACATTTTCTTCTATTGAAATGGGGTTAAGCCCTGAGGGGGGAGGAGAGTCTCCAGAGTTCGTGAGCATTTTGGTTTTTCCCGAGTAGCAACCCCTTTCGAGCTGGGTCCTCCCGTATCCCGGAATTTTTAGTATATTATGATGTGATCCTTGAAATGGACTAATTAAATACCTGTTTGGCCTTCCTTCACGTAGTGTCCAATTGCGAACTTTGGCGTTGTTCTTAAGGTGACTAAGTATAAGCTTAGTTTTGCTTAGTTGACACTCTTCAGGCAGAGTATCCCACTTGAAATACCTCATCGTAGCTTCCACTACTAACCGAATCTGAAAATTATATCACATTATTTAGTTTCGCAGATTTGACTTTAACTCCATGTCGAGATGGAATGAAATGAATGAATTTGCTTGAAACAGTGGAAATCATGGCGCTCAACATCAGTGCCGGGCGTGTTTTTACAGCGGTCGTTTCTCGGCTACCCCCAGGTTTGCACTTTTCTGTTGGTCGGTTTCACTAAAAAATTATTGGGGATCGAATGACCTTCCCGATTAGAGCAGAGAGGCGGACAAGGAGGATAGGTACACTACGGTAGTGAACCGTTTCACAGATCTTACACCTGCTTGACGACTGATTCGCTGCAAAAACGAGAGATTGCTTGGGTTATGTACTTAGATTGAACTCAAAATAGGTATTATCTTGTTAGAAACAGCTCGGCAAACCTTTGGTAACTGCCTGTTAAGCAGATGGGACGCCACTTCTCCATGAAAAGTACGTAGACTGATCTGAACATTTCGTAGCTCTTCATCGGTCACCGACTCGCGAAAAATTTGCCAAGCAAACACCTGTAAATCAGAGTTCTGAACTGTGTGATGTCATTTTTCAGATAACGTTTGTTTCGCACAATTTCAACGGTCCCTTTTGGGAAATTTTACCCAATACCTTTACCATTGCAATTCACTAACACTGAGTTTTTATGTGTTTCATTGTTGTTGTTCTGTTTCAGGCATTTGTTGCTCCAACGTGCACCCGGTTTTTAAACGCCGAAATTGTTGCATAACAAAAAATTTATGGTGAAAACTGGTTAGGGGTGCGTGGGACGAAACAGCAAAACAGCGCCGAGCATCTGACTACTCGTTCCGATTACAAATAAGGGTAAGCGAGAAACGCATAGTGTAGGTATGCTTCGTTCTCAGTTCATGGCGTAATCTAGGGCAACGAAATTTTCGCAAGCTTTTTTGAAAAGCAGGAATGGCAAAGCCGCGAAACGGGAAAAAATAGGATGAACCCGTGCCCTCCGAACCATAAAATTTTGGCCAACCACGAATCACAATGATCAGAAATCGTTGAGTAAGGGAATTCGTGGAATGTTCCACAGCTCCGAAAGCCACTATCTGTACGGTAATCGAAGTGGAGAACCGTGATCATGAGGATCACGTGGGTAATGTACCGCAGCTACAACTCAGTATGTGAAATTGTTATTGAACGCCGCTGTCCCGTACAGGTTTGCACTCCACTTTAGTCTGCCCCTGCGCTTCACAGGGGCAAACCAGCGTGAACAATCGGCAAAAAGTCACTGGGAAATCCAATCGCAACTCACAGAAGTAGCAGCATAATGGTGTGCTACTACCATAAGGGTATGTGAGTAGAATTAGTGAAGACTAAGAGTAGAATTCTGATAATAAGGATCCTCTACATCTTGCATTCGGCGGATGGATTTGCTTGAAGACACTACTTTGACGAAAGTCTAGCCGCTTTTCCCGCAGTCCCGGCCCTCCGTGAGCGTACAAACTTGTCAAGTTGTCACTTGTTAGGGCTTAAGGGTGTTAAGCACTAGCAACTAAGTAAACAGGAAAACGGCTACTACAGGTCTTAACCCATACTCGCCGGCAACTTCATGCGGTCGGTATTGTGGAGATAAAGATAAATAACGCCCGTCATCGTGATTAGTTTGCCTTGCCATGCTCAAAATGTTCAACACCAGTTTTACATGAAGGAAGAGTTCTGTTGGTGGGCCGTGTCACTGGCTTGGTTGGAAAAACAAAAAAGAACTGGCTGTGTCTGGCGCGTTTACCGTGTATTTACTGTTCACTTCCAAGACCCACACCAAAGCACTGAACAAAAGCTATGAAAAAAATGAGGAAAAGAAAAAATCGGCAACAATTTTTCAATCAGAATGTTGACATTTGAAACTTGCAAGCTAAACAATATCAAAAGAAAGTTGATGAATGTTGTGAAACAGGAAAGTCATGAGTGTTTGAGACGGAACACTACAGCAGTCATCTGACTTGCTTGCCTGAAAGCAGGGCTTGAATATAGGCCGAGTTACAGTAACCGAAGAACGACCAGTGTGCCGTCGTAAAAAGCAGCAATGAAAAAAAATGAATCAAGGAAAATGACCAGATGGGCTGAGAAATCTTCAAGTTCACGAGCCAAGAAAAGCAGCTTTTGTGAGAATTCCTCATGAGTCTATGATGAATAAAGATTTTGAAAGCATAAATTTTCACCAATTAGAATAACTAGTATGAAATAGAACTAAAGTAAAAACATTGATTTTCACCTTTGGTTGGGTACTTTGAAAACTTCTTGCAGCTTTTTCAGCTGCTCGTTTCACTGCACCCTCAGGGAAGGGACCATCAACGACAGGAGATTTTTCGCTGTTCTGTAATTTTACAGATAAAAACAGTTCCAAATTGTCAATTCTAGGTAAGCAGAAAGGGTACTTCATATCGCACCTCCTTAGGGGCAGTATCGTTTTGTTGGCTCGGCTGTTGGCAGATGTCCTCCTCGGCGTCGTTCTCGTTATCCCCTTCCATGTAAAGATCACCATCCGACTCATCTTTATAATCCGTCTTAAAAAACGAATTTTAATTTTGCACGGAATTAATTTTTTCGTACACAGGAAATGACCTTGGGCGAGATTGCTCTGTCAGACGAGGAATTTCCAACCATCGGATTACACTCTTGCGAAGGGACTTCAGATATTTCCGTTTGAGGTGGAGAGGCGAATATACTGGACGCTCTGGAAATAGAATTCAATTGTACCTATGTACGGTAAGGTAGCGCCCAGGTCAAAATGATGTGTAAATTTTTCTCACGAAATAAAGAACGGGTAGGCTTTTTTAAGGGGTGCGTTCATGAAAACAACTTCTCAAAAGCTAAAAAAACATTGAATGGTATGCAAAGATACAACTTCATATTACTGATAATCCTAAAGAAATAGAAGGCAGATTTCAAGCCAACCTTTGATCAGTATGTTTAGCCGCCAGTAATTCAAGAACAATACTTAGTTTCAAGTCGATATCGTTGAGTCGTAGGTCCATTCTATTGAGTAGGGTTTTAGAATCAGGATCCAATATTGCAACTGATGGTAACTGCGCCATTGAGAGCGAATCTCTGCGGTGCAATGGGGGGAAGTTTGAGTCGGAATCGGTGTGCAGCAGCGACTGCAGACGCGCGTTGTGTTGTCTGCTGGCGACTCCGCCTATCAAGGATACTGTACCTGTCCATAACATCTCTTCATTGACGCGCACTATTTCCGAATTTCATACTGGTCTTTAGATGGAGTAACTAAATAGCGATAGAGTGACTCTTAGAAGTGACGTCGAAGGTTTAACCTTGTAACGCTGCTCCCATAGAGTAAGGAAACCATCGTATTTTATCGTGAGGTTGTTTTCGATATCACGGCCCAGATGGCACGAGAACTTCATTGAAAGAACTTTATAAACTGGAGATACCAAGTTTCAAATTACTGAAAGGCAAACTCTGGAATCGAACTAGTGCTAAGAGCGCTCCGTAGTGATAGCTTAGCTGCGGAGCGACCTGAAAGTGGAGAGGGAAGCAAGAGAACTCTTTGGAAGCGCTGAAATTAAGGCCTTAACCTTCAAAAAGGTCGGATGTGGTTTGATGGCAAGACACTGCGATCAGAGAGGTCAAAATACGCCAGAGAGAACGTCGTTTGAGAGAGCACGCTGATCCCTACATCAATGCACGCTGATTTCACCACATCTCGCGGTGGGTGGGAAGAGTTCGATGGTTGGAAGCCCGTAAGGAGTAGCGCCCTAACCGCGCAATTTTCGCGACCAAGTTGGAGTGATCTAGGTAGGTACGGACCTTACAATTTTCCTCGCGGTATCCTTCCTACTAGTCGGGCTAATCGCGGGGTTCGCCCTTAAGTCCTTCTACAATCTTAGCCGTGGTTTCAAAAAGAAATCTAAGTAGAAATTGCACGTAGTTTCAAGTTCATCAATCTCGTGTGATATTGCGTTTCACTGGAAATCATTCTTCATTCAGGACGTATCAAATGAATAAACGAGAAAATAAATAAATATGAAAGTTAATAAACAGATAAACATTGGCGACACAAGTAAATTATGATTAGTTCGGCATTTACATAGGCAGGTGAATAAGCAGTCTGCTGAATAGGCGTAATTGCAGAGTAATTCCCCGTTAAATTTTTGGTTTCAAATCGATTATTCGAGAAGTACACACCCAAGACTGCTTTGTCAATCCAGAACGTGCATATCTGTAAAAGTTGTAAAAATATACTAATATAAATATGGGTTTCAGAAGCAAATGTCAGCAACAACTCAATCGAAGTGCGATCACTGCAGTCCAAAAGTACATACGTGTTTAACAGTCTTTAGGAGACAGTTCATGGGCGCGTAGTTTTGCTAGGGAAATATGGAACGAATTAGTATTCCATTTTACTATGTTTGCTAGGCGTGGCAATGGCGCCACTTCCCGCGTGCACGTTACGCGGATCAAGTCCCACCTCGCTGATACCAACCAAGCCTTCTTTCCTTCCGGACTCAATTGGTTGGCACCCAACTTTTCTGGGAGCAGAATAAGAAGAGAAGAATACGTGGCGCATCTCGAAAGAGATAGATCAAAGCGAACGCTTTGTCCTTTCATACTTTTATCAAAACAACTGTATTAGGCTTGTAATGTGTTATAATGTATTATTGTGCATGTGGCCCAAACCCCAAAGACAGCACAAGAACCGCAGTCATTTTCACACAGTATGCAGTTGTGCACCACGGATCTCTTTCACTGAGGGTCCTCTCTCACTGAAAGATCTCGAGCCGGTTCGGTGGCCGAGGCTGACGATGGCGCGACCCCAGGTGGCGGATAGGGGGTAAATCGCGGACCAAAAGCCACCATGTACTTGCCCTGAGACGCAGGTGGATTCAGGGGATGGATCCCTGTCTCTGTAGTGCTGTGTCGATTCATTACCAGTCTTCCCATACAGGTGTATCCATGCTTGCTTGCGTGTGTGGTGCGCTCTGGTGTGTGTGCGGTGGTATCGTGCATGTCGGCACAGCCGAAAGCTTGCATTCAAGTGACTGGGAAGTACATGGGAGGCGATTCGGGGTCGCCTCCAAAAAATAAGCCCTTGTTCCGCTCTAGGATAGCGTGGCAACTACCTGGAGGTCTATCCTAGCCCACACGACAGAGCCTGGCAAGCTACTCGTGTGCCTTCAATATGCCGAAAACAGCAATTTTAATGGGCCTCATTCCCCTGAACTGAGGGAGCCCCCAATACGGCAGCGTTGGGTAGGACCCGTCGGGAGAGCTGCTGCTAGAATCTCAGGGCCCGGATAGGTGCCTAAACGAAGAAGGACTAGGATGGCGATCTGTACTTTCAACGCAAGGACGCTTGCATCCGAAGCTCACATCGAAGACCTGATGATGCAAGCCAGGAAGATCAAAGTACGACGTCATCGGACTGACCGAGACGAGAAGGCACCCGCCCGCTTCACGCCGTTTTCGATACTGGAGAAGAACTGTTCCTTGGAACATGCGACAGCAGAGGCGTTGGCGGTGTTGGTTCCTCGTCAAACAGCACTTGGCCATAAACATCGATTCGTACGAAAAGCCTAACGACCCGAATCGGACGTTTGAGATTGAGGAAGATGTGGATCAAACTCCTGCTTTGGACAATCTTCGTCGCCTACGCCACCAACATCAGCTGACGACGAGGAGGAACACGAAGGCATTTTTATATGGAATTGAAGAAGTTCTACAAGGAAGATCCATACCTTCTTCAAAGGCTTCGTCGCGACTTCAACGCAGATTGGTCACGAAAGAACGGATGAAGAACTTCACATCGGTACTCACGGAAAGGATTGGAATGAGCAGGCGAAAGACTGTCTGAGTTTATTTATGTCGACCAACACCATCCATGGTAACTCGCAGTTCCAGAAGCCCTCTACCCTTCGTTGGACTTGGAGTCACCTGATGGACAGTTCCATAACGAGATAGACCACATCATCATCATCGAAGGTTTTGCCTGACCGACGTCGCTGTTGTTCCGAAGTTCTACACCGGATCGGACCATGCGTCTCCTCCGCGCAATGTTCCACTTTTCGATGCGTGTTGAGAGAGCCTCAAAGTTCAGGAAGCGAACAAGCCCCAGGACAGTCATCAACTGGGATCACTTCACTATCTCTGTCAGCTTATGGGTGGATTCGTTATCGAGAACATCGACGAGGAATATCATCGGCTCGTTGAACACCTCACGAGAGTGGCAGGAAGGCAGAGAGTTTGCAAATTACCAAGCGAGTCTGCTCTCCTGGAAAGCTCCTGAACTGATACGCCAGCGTGGAGCCGCCGAGCTGCAGGCAATCACCAAACTCACGTCCGAGCTTGCGAAGCTATGCCAGAGAGGCGATAAAGGAAGATGTCAAGGAGCGAGAAGAGCAGCAGTTTCAGCTGAAGCAGGCAAGGCTGGGAGGAGCATCCGCAATGCCCGCCGAAGCTTTGCCAGCTACAAGACCAAGAAAACCTGCCTCCGACGTCGGCATGGAACACTTTACTGCATCCGAAGAGCAATGGAGAAAGTCATCCACGACTTCTACTCGGATCTCTTCGATAGCCATGTCCATCTGCCACTTATCAACTGCAACAGCAGGATACGTCGTCCCCTCAGTACTCTCTTCCGAAGTCCGACATGCCATCAAGTCGGTGAGAATCGTACAGCACCCGGTCTCGACAGGGTCAAACCGGAACACCTGAAGAATGCGCCGCCAGTTATCATCAAAAACTCTGGCTCGACTCTCACGCGCTACTGTCGGAATGCAAGGTACCCACTCGCATGGAAAACCAGCAGGACCGTGTTGCTGTACAAGAAGGGAGCCCTGGACGAAACATTGGCAATTATCGCCCAATCTGCCTGCTGTCTGTAATCTATAAGCTATTCACTCGAGTCATCCTCAACAGGATTGGCAGAATACTGGATGAAGGACAGCATGCGAGACAAGCAGGGTTTCGAAGAGGTTCACCACGATCGACCATATCACACGGTTACAAGACTCATTGAAGTTTCACGAGAGTACAGATTTCCGCTTTGTCTCACGTTCATTTCGACTTGAATAAGGCCTTCGACTCTGTGGAGACAGAAGCGGTCATCGAAGCTTGATAACCAGGGGTCCCTACTCATTACATCAAGATTCTTCGTGAGCTCCACAACTTTACGACCAGAATCTCACCATTTTTACAAGGAGGTCATCATCGACGTCAAGAGAAGGGGTCGACAGGCGACACCATCTCGCCCAAACTTCAGCGCGCTCTCGAGAACGTCATGCGTCAACTGGAATGGGAAGACATGGGAGTGAAGGTCGACGGCCGGAACTACACCACCTTCGTTTTGCTGACGACATCGTTCTTATAACGCCGAACATTCGAGCAAGCGGAGCGAATGCTGGCTGACTTCGACTGCGCCTGTGGTAAGGTCGCGTCTACAGCTGAACCTAACGAAGACGATCTTTATGAGAAACGGATTGTTTTCTGATGCCCCATTCACGCTCAACGGAACGAACATCACCGAATGCTCCAGCTACGTGTACCTAGGTCGGGAAATCAATATGATGAACGACCTAGCTCTAGAGCTGAGCAGGAGGAAACGAGCGGCTTGGGGAGCTTATAAGAACATCGAGGAGTAGTGAAGAAGACGAAGAACATCCGGCTCCGTGCCCACCTCTTCGATTCCGCTGTCTTTTCTGCCCTACCTACGCCTCGAAGACTGGACTCTGCGCAGGGCGAAGCATGCGGTCAGCGTTATCCAACGCGCTGTCGAGAGGACCGATGCTAGGAGTGACCCTATACACGCAAGTGCAAGCAGGGGAATCCCGGAGTCCGAACTACGCCAACGATCGAAGATCAGGGACGCTGCCGTTTTCGCCAAGGAATCGAAGATAAGGTGGGCCGGACATGTCATGCGATTCTGCGATGACCGTTGGACCAGAGCGGTTACCGACTGGATCCCTCGGGACGCTCAAACGAACAGCTGGACGACCGCCGGCCGATGGTCAGACTTCTTCACGAAAGCTCTGAACGAAAGGAATGGAGGACATGGTGTCCCTCGAGCGAGGAGGGTCCACTG